TCAGCTCAAAGAGCCTGGTGCGAGAGTGGAGCTGTACATCTTTCTGAGTGTATATTGATGCTCTGTACTCAGGCCTGTTTCCAGCCACAGTGGTCCTTGCAACACTGTGCCTTTGATGGTAGCAGCGACAGGTGGACAGGTTAGAGCCTGCCCATCCACAGTCAGTGGTGGATCCAGAAAGGATCCAGACTTCATACTGCTTGTCCCTGGGTCTGTCCAGAAGCATTATCTGGATGTGTTAGGGAGAATAATCTGCTCACCTTACGCCTGCGCTCAGACTATAAGCTCAAAGCTCTAGCTATCAAACATCTTCAGTAAATACTGATTTTTCAAGCAGCAAAAATTGGTTGAAGATTTCGTATTAGATAGTATCTGATTTGGAAAAAAACCCCAACACCTGAGATCTATTTGACCTCAGTTTTACCTAACTCAAGCCCAAAGAGCAAAGTTCTGCAAAACCAGAATGAAGTTTTTGCTGGAGAAAGATCACCTCTAAACTTTCCCTTTCCAAAACCATGGAATGCCAAGTAATGCCAAACAAGCAATCATACTGAAGTCACCTGTATTGAAATACTGCCTGTCCTGAGCTCAACTTCTTATGTGGTCTAGTACAGGTATTGTACCAACTGATGAACTCTAACATGTCTCCCATATGTAAGTATCTCCCAAATCTCTCTGTATGCAAACTTCTAAACTTAAGATCAGAGGAAGAAAAATACTTAGTTTTCATTCTTTCTGATCAGAGACTGCAGATGCTTTGGGTCAGGATTGACTTGCTGTGCAATGGGTGGACAGTACCTTGATCCCGTGGAACCCAAATCTCTTAGGCTCTCTATACACGTTTGTAACACAAGTGATTATTAATATTACTGTAAAAATGTAGAATGTAAAAATGTGCAAATGACATCTTTCTGAATTACTTAGCTTTTCAGAAACAGCCAAGAACACCATTAGTATATGTTTTGCTATGTTTGAAAGCATGCAATTAGACATGTATCTTACAAACATAAACAAACACTCCCATCCAACCTCCATGTTTCTAAAAAAACCCAGGTTTGTTTAGACAAGGGGTTGATAATCCAGTTTGAACACAGGTATCTGAATGCTGTGACAGCTTCTTCATAATGCTCAGCTTATGGTACATTAAACTTTAAAGCAAGATAAACTCCTGCTTTCATTTTATCAAACATCTACCCAGACAGCAAAAAGAAAGACACAAAGCAATGTTTGCAGCTACAGCCAAGCATGGGATATCCAACTCAGCATATGTTTGAAATGAAAATGAACAATATGTTGCATAGATATACTACTGTATTTTTCAATAGAGAATATCACTGGGATTTGTAAATGTTAACCTCATCCCTCCCTTAAGTGTTTGGTTTTATTTCATGCCTGAAAAAAACCCTGAGATTCACAGAGATTAGGCAAATAGAGACAGCAGTGCTTGCAACTGCTCGAGAAAGAAAGTGCACTTAAAAGAAACTGCTCTGATTATCAGTTTGGGTAGAAAGAAATCACAGGGGCTGGGAGGGACACGGACAAGAGATTTTTTTAAGAGTGCTAAGTGTTGTGCCACTGGTGTGACTGAACTTCAGGTATTTAGCCATATTATGCCTTTTTGTGGTCAATAAAGCAGTAATTTAGTTGCCTATCACAATAGCAATGATGTAGCAACAGCCATCAAGAATCCGTGATATGAAGTCTGCAAGAAGAGACTTTGACCTACAGAGAACAAGTAGAATGGGGAGGGTAGCAGACGACTAAGTCCTTCAGGAATGGGGGACAGCAAACAGGTTTGAGCAGCCTCTTGAATTAACAGATTACCAAAAAACCAACCTCGGGTTTGTTCTTCCTGTTTCATGTCTGAAGAGACTACGTACCCAAAAGCTATTCAGTTATTTCTAATCTCAACATTAGATCAGCTACCTTAAAAAGCCTCTCCTTATAGCTGACTTAAGGTCATGTGGAAGACAAACACAGAGATTATACTTGCTTCCACTGACTTAAAATTGACACACTGCACTCACTGCAAGCATCACCCTCATATTACACTGATGACAACACATGAGGAATCAGAGATGTGCTATTATAGAATTTTTTATAAAGAGTTATTGATGATCTTCATTGTACCATAAATAACAGCCAAAAAAATTATCAAATCATTCAAGTTTCTTCCTAAGAACTCTACCTTCCCCAGAAGTTTATTTTTATGCCACTTTGCCCTCTCCTCCCTTTCCCAATCAACCCATTCTTCATATGACCTCACCATACCCAAAAATGTGAAGAGATTGGTCTTATCACAGCTTAGCAAGATACCACCTGCCAGCTGAACTGTGACAAATCACAGCTGGCCCTACAATACACACACACTAACAGTGACTGAGGCCGAGCTGATGGACAGCAGCTCAAGGCTGTCATTTAAACCACTGAGTACCCCCACCTACAAAAATCATGCAAAGGAAATAGCTCAATAGTGTGACAGCTGCCATCACCATGTTCCTATTCCAGTGTGCATTAGATCTTTTGACTCTCTCCTCTACCTGCAACTGCCTTCTTTTGAGCCTTACTAAGCCTTTTGCAGTCGACAAGGTGGACAAACTGCCTGTTCTTTGTACTCACACAAGAGTTGACACAACATGACCCCAATCAATTATAAGCTACTACCATAACAAAATTTACAACAGCAAATATTCGTTCCTCCCTTCCCCCATGACTGCCCCTCTGAAAAGGTACAATCCTGGCAGAAAAAGCTAGAAAAAGAATAATTCAGGAGTTATTAAATAATGAGAATAAGGCTTAGAATGAAAACATAAACATCAAAAGAACTTTAAGAGTTATTACTTTATTATCACTCCTGCCATACACAACACTCATGTTTTCTGACTCCTAGAAGAGCCAGATAATCAGGTATGCAACATGACTGTAATAAAAACATTCTCTAGCATTAAGAACCTGCATTTCTATTGGCAACCGTTTTACTGTTTAAATGATTCCTTGAACCCAAGGTTTCAGCCATGAATAAAGCAATCTGTGAGCATGCACTGAGCTTTACTCATTTGTTTAAACAGGCATGCAGTAAAAAACCTAAACAAAATAGACTCAAAATGAATAAGTTGACAAATCTGAACAACAACCACCACACTAGCAGATGTGCTTCAAGACATTAGCTTACAGGTTCAGTCACTGCATTTTACTGAGATAAATGAGTCTGAATAACTCAGCCACCAGGCAAACCTACCAATAGCCCACAGATGTTGCCCAGCATATTTCATTGCAGGTTTAAGCTTCTCATTGGAATAGTGACCTGTAGACACCTGTATTTAATAAGCTGCTTAAAAATCAACCTGAATCTGTAGATCAACAAGACTGGGCAGTAATAACCATTGGCAGGGAAGAGTATAAAACACTTTCCCCATATAAAACTTCAGCTTCCTTTTCTTGATGCTTTCACAGAACTCACCTTCAACCAGCAAAGGAGACACACTAAATGGAGTGTCTCTACTGTCAGACAATTTCCCACCTCACTGCTAAATTGAACTTTTTGAAACTTAAATGATAGGCACTCTGTTCAGCAGTGACTGACCATAGCCATGAGCCTGCCTTAACTCTGCAATTAGAGCTAGTTTTGTTAATGGCAAGACTGAATGTGCACTAAAACACCATGTTATAACTTCAAGGGAAGGAACTGCCTTCCCTAAATGGAACCGGAAAATGAGGCCCTGGACAAGCATACACCAGAATGTACCCAACGTTTACAAGGAGCACTTCTGTGTCTTCACAGATCTCTGCACATCTGGACATGTACTACGTGGAAGTATCAGGCTCTTTCAGATAACTCACAGGTGGTCAGATCTCACCACCTGATCTGCTGCTTTTCTGAACTGTGGATGTGCCTCTGTCCTCCTTCTCATCCCCTTAAGCTCACAGAGATGCACAGGTTGGCAGCTAAACAGCACGGTCTTACTTAAAGATCTAGAGCTGCCATTCTTTTCCCAGTAAAATTCAAAGGAAGTAGGACTTGGACATTTGTGATGATTTGGGGAGATCTTGTTAAGAAATCAGGGCCACCCACCTACTTGATATGGCAATGCACATCAGATATGAGTTTGACTCTTTTTAGTCTTTCCAGACCCTCCCTGGACACAGAAGGAAATTCATGCTCAACAGGGTGAATGAATGACAAAATACATGCAGAAGTGATCTGTCATTTACATTGCTACAATGATTGTGCTAAACTCATGGTGCCATCACTATTCTCTTCTAGGTTAGCTTTGGGGGTTTGTCACATGTTCTTTTTTCTACAACTATACCTGCACCTTTTTCTTGAACACTCATACAATTGAGAAAAAAAACATTCTTTGACTGGAAAGCAGGATTTGAGGAGGTATACAAGTAAAAACAGTCAGAAAAGTACTCCCAGTTCTGTTATTTAATTTCTGAAATAAATTGTTGGGACAGGGTAGGTTTTCTCATTTCAGCACAGCTCACTGCAATGCCTACTGTGCTAACCATCAGGGCTGCTGTTATTCTGATTTGTATCCACTAGTCAGTGTGGAAAGAACAAGAGAGGAAATTTAAGCAGCAGTTAAAGTGTCTGTACACTTCAGCCAAGAAACATGGCAAGGGACACGTGTGCTGCATAGTAGAGAGAAGTCCAAAGAAAACTTGGTTTCTTTTTAACCAATGTTCCTGCTGCCCACAGAAATTAAAAAGAAACCAACAGATAAGTTGGGTTTTTTTCATTTTGAAGACAATTTTTGTTAGCAGTTTGTTGGTAAAGCACTTACAAGACAATATTGCAAGGGGAGAATTCTCTAAAAGCATCATGAGTTTTGTGAGTATTTAGTACAATCCCTGCATCCAAACCAACTCCCCCTCCATTTCCCTCCCAGGCAATTATCTCCCAGTTTCCCCACATGAATAAAAGACTTTGTAGATGTTGGTGGAGCTTCAGCAGGCTTTGTGTCTGATATGCAGCCCATACCACTGTTATCACTTACCAATACAGCAGGACCAGGAAGACCACCAGCAAAGCCAAGGTGACTCTTGTACTATTCATTTCTACAGAGGCAAATGCCAGGAGATCTACAGGCTCCATTTTCCTCCACTACAGCTCCAGCCTTGAGTGCTGAGTGCAGGGGAAAGCCTCGGCAAGAGCTGATAAAGCCTTCCACTGCTATATGAATGACATCTGCAACAAAACAGGAACCGAGAGAGCAAAAACATGTCAAGTACAAACTGCAAACCTTTCCTCTTCTCATCGACTGCACACTCTGACACAGAACTGGAAGGTTCCCTGAATGGTAGAATGTAGCAATTTCCCCCCTCCCACTGTTGTTGACCATCATGCCAGTAAATATTTACATATCCACCGCTTGAGACATCAGTGCTGCTGAATAGGTTTTTAGACATCAAGTATGGGAAACTGGGGAATGTGTGGGGAAAAAACAGGGGAAGAGAGCCTGACCATGTTACAGATCATGGAAGAAAAATATTAAGACACTTTCAGGGGTGCCCTGACATACAAACAGTGTCATTCTCCAAAACAGCAAAAATAGAGCATTTTTGCAACATAAAAGTTCATTAGCACTTAATTTACAAGCTGGTTATATCTTGAAAGAAAGGAACAAGGTAAATTATCACAACTAAAAAGAGGAATTAGAGGAAAACTCTATAAGAGAAGACCACCAACCTGTTACACACCAAAGTAACCAAATTCCATAATCAAAAAAATCTTCAGGACAACAACAGCAGCAGCTTTCAAGTAAATGCCCTTGACCATGACAAAAACCTGTCCAGTATTGTTTGTTACTTATGAAACTATAAATACTCATAAATGTACTGCAGACTTCCCACTCATTATAAACAACCTATCGGAAAGTTAAGGAAATCAATGCTATGAAAAAACTAAGTTTGTGAATTATATGGTAACCTTGAGAAACAGAAATTCTGTAAAATCTGATTCTTATAACACACCAGATGAAGAGTGGTTTCTTCTATTACAACCCCAAGACAATAGCTTAGATTTAATGTGCAAGGCTTCTCCAATATCACTGTATTACATTTCCTGCATTTATCAGAGAAGTTAATAATATAGGTATCAAAAAAAGTAAAGTCTCTAACACAATGGAGTTTAATTTTAAGAAGATTTGGCTCTACTCTAACTGAATCATTGCTATTTTGGTTCTCCTGTGCTTCACAGCTGCATTAATTCCCTTCTAGCCTCAGATCCTTGCAGAATAAGTAAAAGGTGTTAACCAGCTCATCAGCTCCACAGAATAGCAACGTAGTTCACAGAAAACCTTGCTTGTATTAACAACTTTATTGCTATCCTGGGTCAATAACAGCTCTGCTGGTTTGCTGCTGCTGGCAAGTCATCTGAGAACAACTACAACAAGAATCAAGATCAGTGACACAAGAAATTAATCAGCGGGCAGAAGCCAACCCCAATCAGCAACTGATTTTATGGGACTTCTTTAAAAAAAAAAAATTAAAAAATAAAATATCCATATGGATTAAAGTCTCTTCAAAAAAACTAAACTAATCACCATAAGTGTAGAAGGTAAGAAATAATATTCTGATTTCACTGTACTTTTATTTACTTGGCTTTTGAGTTAAAAGACATATTTTTCTGTATATAGAGTTCAGATGCTCTCCTATTAAAGTCAACTGTATAACTCCTATCAGCACACACAGGTCAAGTACACACCTCACTTGTTTTTTAAGAAGCATTGGAGTCTTTTGCCAGTCACATCGGGAAATAGGTGGGATGAATAGTTCTCAAATGCATGGATTATGAAAGAAAATAGGCTCTCACATCAGCATACAATTTGTAAGATGACACATAATCAAGCTTTTCTTTTCATCCTTTTCTGGTTTTGATGTTGGTGTTTGTTTTATTTTTTAAGCCTCATCACCTGTTACTTGCTGAAGGATTTTAACTCAGCACCTCCAGCCATTAGGAAGGGTGGCACAACAGCATCGACTCCAAAACCTACCCGGAGCAGTCCTCATCACAGACCCACGCACTCATCATCTCAGAGTTAAGGATCTCAGCTTTGCAGGGTGAGGAAAAAGGAATCAGGGATGCAGACAGCAATGCATACAGGCTATTTATCAATCCCGAGTCTCTCTTTAGAGGTCCTTTACATGAGAAATGTCATCCTAATTAACCAGTTAATAGCACAGATATTTTTCACCAACCTCCCTTCCTTTTGTTGAGCCACACTGGTCAATATTATTCTCCCTAGAGAACTAGGGAGACAAAGTTCTCACCAACCACATGCTGGAGGAAGCCAGAGGCAAGCAGAAGTGGAAGAGAGCCTTTTCCTCTAAGACTGCTATGAGTCAGCAGCACTGTCTGCATTTGCCTCCACCAGGCTTCACTCCAGATTGCATCTACCAAGCTTTGCAGCTCCTTGACACGGTGCCATCCGAGCTCTTCTCTCCTGCAGCAAGTAAATTCCATAGATCACTGCCTTGCTCATCACAAACAAAATGTTATCTACAAGAAGACATCCATCACATCCCTCCTTCCCCGGCACTGCCTTGGAGCTCCCCAGCAAATGGCAGACGTACAAGACAGAAGCAATTCAATTCTGAGCAGGCAGAGCTTCAGCCTGCACAGATGTTGGCAGTGTTAAGTATTAAACGGGGAAGTACGTAACAGCATTCAAAGTCTGAGGAACTGAATTGTTCCTCAACTGTAAAAGAAAAAAAAAAGCCTGGCACCCAAACAATCCAGGTTTTACAGGAAGCCTTCATGTCTTAAAGCCCTGTCTGACTGCAATAATATTTTCTGTAAATGCTCTTCCAAAAACAATGCATTTTAACTTCCAAATGAATACAACTATGGCTATGAACCTCAGCAATGCTTGACATATGCTGGTATCACTCCGACACGAAATACAGAGCTTATTAAAAAGCAGGATCATAGACCTTCTCAGTAAACCTAGATCACATTAAGGACTATGACTTGTCTTCAAAGCATATAAAATGGAAAGTGTAGTCTTATCTATTTTAGAAGCTAATGACTACACCAGCTAGACTAACCATGCACTCCTGCTAATGACCAATTTCAACTCCTCTCATGCTATTCTACCTTGTATGTTTTAGGTCTATAATAATCTAATTAAGGCTGAGCCACACCTACTTTATCATAGGTGAAGGAAGCCCAGGGTCTATAGAAATTTGTAGCACAGATCAACTACATTCTGGTATAGACAGCTTAGCAACAAAATAGTGCAGACCAAAATACCATAAAACGGCTTAAAAAAAATTAATCAGAGACTAGTTTATGTATAAACTTTAACAAAGCCCACGTACAAAAATGTGTATGTATGATAATAATTTATCTTGAAGACAAAAACCTTTCCAAAGCCAAAATGAATTCTTAATATCTTGAAAGTATACCAATTAAAAAGATCAAAGACACATTTCACATGGATTTTTTTAAAATTTAAAACAACCCTAATATCCAAAGTACGGGGAATATTAATCTATTAGAATAGAGGGATTTATAATGGCCATCTTTGACTTAATTATTACTATCCCTGTTCAAGGATTGATTAGGCAGATTAATCAGATGATTTTGTACTCCTGCATTACAAACTATGATAAACTACCCAACAGACAGACCACCAAGGCACCAGAGTCTACTAATAAAGATCTTGCTCTACATTCAAAACAGATGGGAGCACCAAAAGGACACCATGAGCACATGGAAGATTCTTGAACCACCTTGAATAAAAACACTCCAATAAACTGGATCTCAGGGGGCAAACACAATAACTGTAAAACCACGCTGAGGAGGCCACTTTCATGACACTTCCAACTGAGAAACTGAAAGACACACTTCTACACTTAAATTGTTTTGCCAAGTCAGAACCTCGTTATATTAACCTAAATGCTTCTCAGGAAACAGGCACCCAGCTTAAAATTCTAGGAAAGCTAAAATATTATGCAAACTTGTACTTCACTAACAAATTTAATCTTAGCTGACTAAAAGTTTTGGTACTTCAAACTCAGTCAATATCTTAGGGGCTAAAATACTCGTTATGCTAACTAAATGTAGTGCCACTGTACTAAGTCCCCTCTAAAAGCAACAAGCTGTGAGATATCCTAGTTATTTCAAAGAACTCCACTTAGAAATAGCACAGGTTTTGTGGTCAAAAGGAATGACAGTTTCTTCCTCTTGCTGTGAGAGTTCAGAATGAGTTTCTAAAATAAAGTTACCTTTGCTAATAGTAACATTAAGATCTTGCATCCCCTGTGAAATTCCAGAGAAAGCAGAAATTACTGTAACATCTGCTGCCCGTCGCCAGGCATTTCTAAGCAAATTGACTTTATTAAATAATCAGTAACTTGTTTATATTTCTACAGCTTGCTTTAGAAACATTGATTGATTCAAGCAATCCTATAATTTCATTGTCCTATAAACTTGACTGGAGATAAGTAAGGATTTATGTTGATGGATCAATAGCTCCACATTGACAGCAAAAGCCAAAGAACCCTGCCTAGACTAGTCTTGTAGTTGCAGTGAGACATATAAATCACAGAATATGCTAAGTTGGAAGGGACCCACAGGGATCATCAAGTCCAACTCTCAGCCCTGCACAGGACCATCCCCAAGAGTCACACCGTATGCCTGAGAGTATCATCCAAATGCTTCTTGGAACTCCATCAGGCCTGACGCCATGACCACTTTCCTCGGAAGCCTGTTCCAGTGCCCAACTACCCTCTGGGTGAAGAACCTTTTTCTAATATCCAACCTAAACCCCCCCCGACACAACTTCAGGCCATTCCCTCAGGTCCTGTCACTGGTCACCACTGTCCCTCCTCTTCCCCTCACAAGGAAGTTGTAACTGCAATGAGGTCTCCCCTCGTCTCCTCTTCTCCAGGCTGAAGAGACAAGACGCTCTCTAGTAGTTTAATATCTTTCTTATATTGTGGTGACCAAAACTGCACATAATATTCAAGGTGAGTTTGCTTTTGTAACAATACCATGGTAAGAGCTGGTAATTTAGAATTTCTTCTGTGAAGTTCAGTTTTTAAACACCATGAGAAATACCTTACCTTCTTTATTTGATTGAGAAGCTACTCTAGATAACAAATTCCAGGCTTGAATTCTCCAAACTGCATATCAGTGCTGGATCACAGGTCAAAAGAACTGTGAAAAACTTAACAGAAGTA